CTTTGTTGGAAACTTTGCAATTATTTTACAGATTATTTTAAATACATATTATCTATCCTATGCTGTCCTCCATTACTTGTCTAAATAGGGAAAAAACACCAGGACGCCGTACTGTAGGTGCCGGAGGATTAACCAACACTGAGCGGCAGCCAGAATCCAGGCAAACGCGCCTTCATTAGGGTTGAAGTCCAGGTTCAACTTCATCTAGACGGGTTCCCAGGAGCAATGAAACAACTTCGGAGGTCAGAAAGGTCTCCTAGCGGTGACAAGGAGTCCCTCGTATCTACTTGGCAGCCTTCCAATAGGAAAGCTCTTCTTAACATCTAACCTAAAGCTCTCCCACTGAAATTCAAACTCACCTCCTCCTTTTCCCATATTCTCCATAGGGATTCCAGTGAGAAATCCCTAAATGCTTTGTGGCTCAAGGGGCCATTCAACCTGATCCCACTCTCCCTATATTTGGCCTGAAAAACCCCTATTCCATACGATTTGCATCCACCCAGTTTCGTGACATCACGGAAATTTATCAGTTCACTCGGAAGACCTAGTATGTGAGTTCATCTATTTGTGGAAAGAGAGAGTTCTCTCCAAAATAAGTGAGTGAGTCAGAAATGTTCAACAGCACTAGCTTTGTTTTCTTTAAAAAAGGGGGAAAATAAATTTTTTTTATCATTTTGGATAAACAGGATGATTTGCTCCTTCCAAAGAGCAAAAATTAAATCTAAATATAGCTAGTAATATTGGCTGGGAAGAAGTGGGGTAAAAACCTTTTTAAAAATTTAAATCATATGCAAACTCTATAGTTATTTAATTTTAAAAGCATTATTAGATAATGCAAAGCAAGACATTTCAGTGACTTTTTTACCAGTCTGTCATGCCAGTAAGCATTACTTAGGGAGGGTATATTCTTTGAAAATGAGCAGAAAACTTACCTGCAAGTTGGTTTTAAGGCAGTTTCACTAAAATCATAAGTTAAGACTATTTAACCCTCTGAGGTTCCTTCTAGTCCTATTATGCTGTTTGTATTTGCAAAAATAATTATTAGTCCTTTAAGCAGGAAACACAGCAGCGTGTGAACAGTTGTCAGGCAAATGCCTCAGAACTGTATTTGTAATGAGATACACTGTAAATCATAAAACAGTACGTCACACCGTATAGCTTTTAAATGAAACTGGGATAATTTGGTGAAATGTACATTTTTAGAAGTGAAATAAAAACTCTATGTAGTTCTCTGCATACTTCAAGAGTTGTGAAGATCACATGGAAAAGGTAAAATTGGTTTTTAAAAGGCAAGATACTGCTGCTCAACATAAGGTTGCACTGGAACAATAAAAATCTAAATCCAGAATAATAGTTATTTCTGGAGGGGAGAGAAGGGAAGGGCTACAAAGGCATCTCAAACTCTACCTGTAATGTGTTGTTAAATAAAATCCAAGGTAAATATGGCAAAATACTAAGATTTGTGCAGTAGACACATGAATGTCCCTTTATATTTTTCTCTATAACTGTGTATACTTATAATTCATAATAAAAACTGTAACTTTAAGTTTTATAATATAATCTTGAGAAAAAAAGTGACAAAGATTCCAAGAAATTTTAAAGGTTTCTTGTGGATAAATATTTTTTAAAGCTACTTAAGTTCATACATAGAGTATCTTGCTTTCTACTAAAAACAATCTATTTTCCTTATTAATATGGTCACCATCTCTTTCCTTCCTTATACCTCCATCTAACAGAGTTTGAATAAAAAAGCACAATTCTCTCCTGAGCATGTGGACAAAGGAAGCTCAGTGAGATGGCTCAGTTGAAGTGACGGTCCTGGGAACAGCGGGGTAGAGGGGGGAGAGAGAGCACTGGACAGAAGACCACCACCCAGGCGGAGAGAGGCAGCCAGGTTTCTGGAGCCAGGTCTTCAGTCAGCCTTCATTATTTTGTTTGAAGTGCCCTGACTTCCCAGAATACCAGAGAGACTTTTATTTTTACGTATCCCATACATACTAAAATATTACTGGATGAAATAATATGACATCAAAGATGTGAAAAATACTGCAGATGAGACAAGACTGATCATGTTTGATAACTGTTTAAGCTGGTGATGGTATGAGTGGATACTCTCCTATTTACTTCTATGCATATTTAAATTTTTCTACAATAATTTATTTTTAAATCCAAATTAAAATAGATGATTTAACTATCATCTTTTTAAAATCTTGCCCCATTTCAATCTGTTAGGCCTATTCCTGGCTAGGGGATTGGGCAGCCAGGCCAGGGTTGGCCCCAAGGCTACCACTAATCAGCTATGTGCCTTGGTCTCAGTTACTCTCTTTAGTTTTGAGTTTATCCATTCTGAAAAAAATTAAAGGGTTGGATGAGATGATATTTAAGCCCCCTTTGAGCTATAATGATTGTTAGATTTATAAAACTGACTTACAGTTATTGTGTAATACAGTTAAGAACTATAAATGTTACTAATGATACACTATGGCCACATAGGAGTACCTTTAATTAACCATTCATTCATTCATTCATTCATTCCTTTGACAAACATTTAGGGAATGTGTACTATGTGCCAGGCAGTGTTACACAGGGGTGGAATACAAAGTTAAATGATGCAGAATTCTGTCTTTAACATCCAGTCTAATCATGGGAGACAGATAAATAAACAAATGACAATAATACAATGTAAATATGATAGTGATGATAGAGCTGAAGACACCAAAGGTCTTCATGGTGTGAGAGAGCAGGGAACTGTGAACAATTTCCTATGCAGGCGGTGAAGGGAAGAAAGTGTCGGGAGATGAGACTGGATAGGAAAGCAGGGACCAGATTGAGAAGGACCACAAATTTGATGCCAAGGAATTTGGATGGGATCTTGAAAAGTGGTAATAAGGAAGGCATTTTAAAGATTCTAAGCCTGGAAATGAAGTGATCCAATTTACATTTTAGAAGAATTGCTGAAGCAAGAATATAGGTTTATGGGTGGTTGGTGGTGTTTGGAGGACAGAGGAGGGAAACCTAAAGATAAGGGAGGTTCACCTAGTAGTTAGGAGACAACTAAAATGGTCCAGCAAGATATGATGAGGGCTTGAGATTCCTTACATATTGTCATAGCAGCATCTTGCGTTTTGAAGCAAGAGAAAGAAGAAAAAAAAAAGAGTACTGAGTTATATGTGTATATAGTTGTTAATTTACAATAAAGGTAATCAGTTCCTTCTCCAAAGTACAAATGAAGCCAAGATTTTAGAAATGCAGATTTTAGGTACTCTGCAATATTTCTCAACCCATCTTTCAAAATAATATAGAAACTACAGCATGAAACTCCAGTATGGTCATAATAAAGGATTGCTATCTATTCATCCTCGGTGGGTTACCAGCTTCAAGCACAGTCTGTAGCACATAGTAGGTACTTAATACATGCAGCTTATGTGTTGAATGTGGTGAGTTAATAAACAAATGAAATAGTGCCACATGATGCAGGAGATTAATTCCCTCCTTGCTGGTCATATTAGCAATGACTTGATAAAAAAATACAAGTAAAAAAAGATAAAAACTGTTTATCAGGTGATTTTATGCCCCTCTATAAGTCCACTCCCCACCCCCAGATATTTAAACTGTATCCGCAATAATCCTCACTATTATTTCTTGAAACAATGGAGTAGAGAGTTAATATCTTGTTATTTAAGAGTCAGGCAACTCCCCACGTGTAGACTATAATAGAAGATATTTTTTTCTTTGTAAATTACATAGTGCCTTTTTTCTCAGCCCCAAAAGGGGTACTTCTAAGAGAAACACGTGAAGTGCTCAATCAGTCCTAGGTGCCACAAATCATATGGACTTTTGTTTCAATTTTTATAAAACAACCGCAATAATTTTTTCCCTCAAAAACCATTCTCTTTGACTAAAGATGAAAAGTACAGAAAGTTAGATCATCTAGACAATGTCCTATTGTTAATGACTATTAGTCTGAAATTAGAAAATTCTGCCTACCTTTTAATTAATACTTCCTTATACTTTCAGATTTTCTCAGCAGCAAACCTGTGGTACTAAAGGTCAAAACCTTAGGGCAGCTGGTTAGCTCAGTTGGTTAGAGCTCAGTGCTAATAACACCAAGGTTGCCAGTACGATTCCCACATGGGCCATTGAGTTGTGCCCTCCACAACTAGACTGAAACAACTACTTGACTTGGAGCTGATGGGTCCTGGAAAAACACACTGTTCCCCAATTAAAAAAAAAAAAATCTAAAAAAAAAGATCAAAACCTTGAAATCTGATTATTCTACTCCATACCCATAATGTTATAAAATGTTAATACCACCCCAAATGTTACTGACAATAATAATAAATAATTCATAATAATTAACTGAACATTAATCATGTGCCAGGTAACATGCTTATCATTTTATATAGATTATCTGATTTCACTTTGGTCCTTGCATTAACCCTAAGAAGTGATAAAGTTACTGCCATTTTGCAGTAGAAAATGGGTATCTCATCCAATGACATACAACCAAAACAAGCCTGTCAGACTCAGTAGCCCATGATTCTACAGAGCTATGTAGTATAGCCTCTCCCAAACCATGTGAGGTATTTGGGAAGGTATTATTATCCCTATTTTGAAAATCTGAGGCTCAGAAAATTGACAAGACTTGCCTAAGGTCACACACTTAAAAATGGAGCCAGTATTAGGCTCCTAGCTCTGGGCCTCTACCACTCGACCTCTCATATTGGACCTGTTCCATGAAACAAATTCTAACCACTCAATGGGAATGTATAAAATCCCCACCCTTGTTTTAAAAAAAATCAAACACAAAATGGCTTTGTCAGTATAGCATAAAGGTCATGAGATTCTAAAAAAAAGCCAGTAAAGTTTCTTTTTGACACATCAAGGCCACCTTGAATTCAAATCATAAAAGAAGCTAATTTAATCTGAAAATAATGCTTTTCAGATTTCTGATAAGTGCATTTGTTTTCCCAATATTTATTTATGTGTTTCTTTTACAGTCCACATTCAACTGCCAAAGATTTCAGTACTTATCTGAGACTTGGGAAAAGGTCAAGAGAGCAACTTTTTGTCCCCAACCCACAAAGAAAACAATGTCTACAATTACTCCTCACAGACTCTACTGCCAAATAACAAACAGGTGCAGTATTTCTTGGATGCATTGTGTGTGGGGGTGGGGGTGGGGGGGGCAAGGCAGGGGTGAGGAGTGAAAAGGGATCGGGGGAAACATTAAAAACAAACCCCACTGGGGGCTCATTTCTTCTAAGTGACTTACATCTTATAAGATATTTCGCTGTTGACAAGATGATCCTGCCTTTGAATACAAGGAAGTTGCACCCAGTCTCACAAAGCACAGATTCAATCACCCCAAACAGAAGTCAGGACTTCCCTTCAAGACAAATATGGTATTCAATCTGTGTGATGCCTTGAATACAGTGAATTAATTTGCAATCCTTTATTATGACCATACAAGGGAGGGAAAGACTACCTTGCTAGTCCTTCCTTGAAGGGGAAACAACAGAGGAAAAAGCATACTACTTAAATCCCATAGCAAAGTTTTAAAACTTTTCCATTAAAACACACACCCTAGTTGAGTCATCAGCATAATACCCTATAAGTGTATCTTCTCAGTACTGCCTACCTTTCCTATACATGGTTGTTCCAACTCTGTGCTACCACTACTCAGAGTGGTTAAGAAACTATAACCTGTTTCATTCTTTTTTTTAGTCATTTAACCCTACAATTTTTGGAGTAAATGCACTGACCTTCATTCACGTAAGTACTTAATCTATAAATAAAGATGAATCTATGAATAAAAATGAATAAAGAAACCATAGCTGAGTGAAAATTATATCTGAAAATAGCCAATAGCCAAAGCAATAATAGCAACCTAAAGAAAACTGCTTCATGAACCAATTAGAATGTTTTAAATTCAAAATAAAGATTATGAGAAAAATTCCGTTAACCTAAAGTTAACAAGTGGATGCTTTTCAAATATGTTTAGCTATTTACCAAATACAGTAATGCCTTGGTTTGCGAGCATAAGTCGTTCCGGAAACAAACTACTCGTATTACAAGACATCGTTCATTTACCAAGTTGAAATGTATTAGAAATGTTGGCTCGTCTTGCGGAACACTCGCAAAACAAGTTACTCGCAATCCAAGGTTTTACTGTAGTTGTATAAGAGTTCCTCTACTGCAGTCTTTTAGGAAGGCTCTATCTCAACTGTATAGTAACTATCCAAGCTTGAAAATCTGTTGGAACCCACTCTGTGCTATTTTAAAAACCATTCTCCCCTGACTACTCTCCAAATACCTGAATATGGCCTATGGGGGCCTGTATTAAAGGCTATGCATTTCCTGAACTCTTTCAGAGGCCATGATCCACTCACAAATATCCAAAGCTCTTCATAATGGAAGCCTGACACATCAGGCAATTCCAACTCCAAGCTTTGCTGCTACCTAAAAGTACTTGATCCCATCTACCACACCGAAAATGTATTTCCCATTCTTTCCCCACCATAAACAAACAAAAAACCAAAACGCCAGAGTTTTAGGTGAATTCTTCTCTTCAAACTAAAATTGCATTGATAGTTCTTCAGATACCAAGTTGATAAATATCTTACGAATCTACTTCTAAGACTCTGCAACGGACTACCTGAGTTTGAATTCTTGATTCCACTCTTGCTAGCTGTGTGATCTTAGAGAAGTTAACCTGTCTGAGCCTTGGTTTTCTCATCAATCAAAAGGATTCTTGTGAGTTAATACATGTAATATATTTATAACAGTACCTGACACATGGTAAGTGGTCAAGCTGAAGAAACTAACATTATCATTATCAATGCCATCATCACTGTTGTTGACTTGAGAATTATACTGCTTACATGGTCCTTTTGCCATCCCTCCAGTATGTGGAAAAATCAATCAAAAGATAATTAGATCTCTGAACTACTACTAAGCTAAGGAAAATAATACATTGACAGCTTGGTCAGCGAGTTACATATTCTAGCGAACTTAAGCCTGAAATTTAACATCATAAGGATTCAACTATATAATAGTTTAGGATTCATTTGGATCTCTTCTGGGTAACTGATACTGGTTTTAGGCAGTCCCTAAGTTATGAGTATTAAACTTTCAAAATCATGAAGCTAAAATGTTTTGTCTTCAAAACAATCACAATACATTTGAAGAGATAGATACGTCTATAACTAGGTTATAACATAGAAAATAATGTTATAGTAATTTGAACAGGGATTAAATGGGTTAATTTTTCCTTGGGTTAAAAAAAAATAGCAACAACAACAAAAATGGTACTGAAGATTGAAAAGTTAAAGGTTATGAAATATAACATATACAACATGAATAGGCTATGGTTATGACTATGTATTCAAGATTTTGTATAAAATTTAATTTACATGTATTAAAATGCTATGGTAGAATAAAAAATACAGCATCACAGAATGAAAAATAAGCCACAAAATAGAATAAGGTATTTCAAAACCTAAAAACAAAGAATTAAATACAGCAGTGATATAGTATTAACAACTATTCTTCTTCCGTTCTTGCTATGTATCAAGCACTATTCTAAACAATATACCAGTGTCTTAACTAGATGAAGAATTCTTATGAATCATATAAAAAAGCCACAAAACAAAATTTAAAATGAGCAAAAATCCCAAATAGGAATTTCACAGAAAACACATATGGCCCATAAACAAAATTAAAGATGCTCAACTATAATTCTAATCAGGGAAATGAAAATTAAAAACCCGAGATATCATTTCACACCCCTGGATTGGCAAATACTGAAAAAGCTGTCGATATCCAGTTCTGTTAAGGAACAACGGGAAGTCTCATCCACTGCTGGTAAAGGAGTAGAGTGGTACAACAGCTTTGGAGAACAGATTGATACTACTCAGTAAAGCTGAACACACACATCTCCAATGACCAAGCAATTCCACGCGTAGGCATGTACCATCAAGATACTCCTGCACATGTGGAACAGGGGGCAGTGCTTTAACAAGGTCAGTGGAGTAAGAAAAACATTGTAGTATATTCATATAACTGAAAACTGCACAGCAGTGAAAAAGAACTAAGTACCACTATATGGATGAATCTCAGAAATATGAAGCTGAAAAAAAAAGAAGCAATTATAGAATACACACTGTACATTTCCATTTATATAATGTTCAAAGCAAGCAAACCTAAAAAAGTAACATTGACTCAATGGGTATATTTGTAGGTGGTAAAACTAGTATAAGTAAAGCAAGGGAATGCTTACCATAAAATTAAAGATAAGTGTTACACTGGGAGGAGGAAGGACATACAGGGAGCTTCTGGGGTACTGGTAAAGTTCAATTTCTTAACCTCCATGGACAATACTTTGGTGTCTGTTTCATTATTTTCTTTACACTGTACAGGTACATTTTTAAAAATGTATTTTATATTCTCATGTGTGACACGCTTCAAAACTTAAACAATTGATTTAGCATTTTCCTTTTGGATGAGTTGTGAGCAAGTCTTTATAATGAATTCATCATTGAAACAACGTAGAAATTTCAGACTAAAAAAGCAATTATTTTAGAATAAAGAACATAAGAAAAACTTAAAACCCGCAACAGAAACAAAATCCTGAAACTTTAAAATTGAGCCAAACTAATTCACAAGCAGAAAAACGACAACGTAATGATACAAAGCATCATTTGTTCTAATGTGTTCTACAAACATTTTTTTAGACTTCTGAAGGAAAACGTGTTCTGAGTAAAATAAACTTGGGGAACAATGGGTTAAACAAGAAAATCTAAAGAAGGGACAGAATTTCCCAAACTCTTTGACTCTGGAATCTTTTAACACGGTGAATTACATAGTGATTCTTTTAGGACTTGTATTTCATATAACACAAATTGGGAAACATTTTATAATACAGAGACCATAATAGGTAAGATATTGCCCCAAGACTGAGATGCGAGCAGGAGAGACACTCCAATAAAAGGTACTCGGATATCTAAGTCTTCAGTAGCTGACTTGTCCAAAGCAAACTCTGGACAATTGGGATCAAGACCAATAACCAAAAAGAACCCTTTAGGAACTAAATGAACAATCATCCTATGTGTTGTATAACACAGACACAGCTTTATTGTAAGCAAAACATGATGGAGGCACAAAGTGCAACAGAAAATATCTACAGAGAATATACAGAAGTATTTCTACAACTTTTAGGGTCATGGTAGACTAATAGAGTCTTATTCGATTTAGGTACAGCAATAGAAGCCTCCAGCACAAAAATCTATGTTTCAAACCAGATGTCTCAGTTAAAAGATTTTTCCATTAGTCTTCCCCTAATAAAATTAGAAATTCCCTAATTTTCTACCAAAGTTTTCCCTAGGTACAATGAATCTGTAAACTGGATCTGAAATTTTTTCATAATGTGCTTTTATTACCATAGGAAGTGAGATGGAAATGCTCTTTGATGGAAGATATAAACACCGCACATTTTAAAAACTTCATGATTAGGCCATGAGCATAAACTTTGGCACACACATATTCCTCTTGGAAACTAACTTCTGGGTGGCAACAAAATTCATTTTTAAGGAAAAAGTTGTCAGTGACAATGTGTTTGTATCTCAAATATGTTACAATATTATCTGAAAAGAGTCAAACATCTGTCTTTTCAGGGTACCACAGGAATTCCAATGGGAAAATGCTGTATGGCCCTCGACAGGTGGCAGTCATTACCCTGGCAATTAACCACAACCCAGGCTCAATCCACAGCCTTACAGTTTCAGAAATTTGATTTTATCAGCATCAATAAGGTAGCTCCATCTTTTAGAAGAAAAAAAAATTAATCAAGGCTCTAAGGAGTTAATATCCAAAATTTATAAAATACTCATGCAACTCAATTCCAAAAAAACAAACAACCCAATTAAAAAATGGGCAGAGGACAAAAGCAGTTTGATTCCCGGCTCGAAGTGAGCTGCCACTGAGCTGCCAATGGTGGCAGGATGGTTCAGCTAACATAAATAAATAAACAAACAAACAAACAAACAAATAAATTTTAAAAATGGGCAGAGGATATGAAGAGACATTTCTCTAAAGAGGACATACAGATGGCCAATAGGCATATGAAAAAATGTTCAACCGCACTAATCATTAGAGAAATGCAAATAAAAACCGCAATGAGATATCACCTCACTCCGGTCAGAATGGCTATCATCAATAAATCAACAAACAACAAGTGCTGGCAAGGTTGTGGGGAAAAGGGAACCCTGGTGCACTGTTGGTGGGACTGCAGATTGGTGCAGCCACTACGGAAATCAGTATGGAGGTATCTCAAGAAACTGAAAATGGAAATACCTTATGACCCAGCAATTCCACTCTTAGGTATTTATCCAGAGAAACCCAAGACACTAATTTGAAAAAATATATGCACCCCTATGTTCACTGCAGCGCTATTTACAATAGCCAAGACTTGGAAACAAATGAAATGCCTATTGGTAGACAACTGGATTAAGAAACCATGGTACATTATACAATGGAGTATTACTCCGCTATAAAGAAGGAAATCGTACCATTTGCAACGATATTGATGGACCTAGAGACTATTATGTTAAGTGAAATAAGTCAGTCGGAGAAAGACAAATACCATATGATCTCACTTATATGTGGAATCTAAAGAACTGAGTAAACGAGCAAAGTAAACAGAAATGGTCTCAGAGATACAGAGGAAAAACTGAAGGTTGCTAGATGGGAGGCGGTGGAGATGAGGGAGAAGGGGAAGGGACAAGACAACATAAATTGGTAACTTCAATACTGCCACAAAGATAGGAAAGACAGTTTGGGGAATATAATCAATAATGTTGTAAATAATTTTTAGGGGTCAGAGGGACTCATGTCTTGTCAGGGAGACCACTTCATGGACGGTGTAGAGACCTGACCACTGCACTGTACATCTGAAGCTGCTGTTAAAGAATATTATATGTCAACTATAATTTAATATATATATAGTCACGGGATGTGGAGTATAGTGTGGAGAGTGGAGTCAATGGAATTGTAATAGATATGTATGATATTGGGGGTGGGGGAGCAGTGGATGGGGGAGGAGGGTTGTCACTTTGTGAGGGGTGAAAAGCATAACTATTGCATTGTTTTGTACACCTGAAACTAATAATAATAAAAAAATTTAATCAAGCCTCAACAGAAATCAGGATACCAATTTACTGATAAAGAATGACAAATATGGGATGGCCGAGTGGCGCGATGGTTAAGAACTCGCTTGGGATGCCAGAGGGCCCCGGTTCGGATCCCACATATGAGGGCCAGTGACACTGCCCTCCACA